TTTTACTGATCATATTTTCACCAGTATTTTTTTTCCAAATAACTTTGTGAATTAGTTACCACCCATGATATTATTCAAGTATCGTAAATAAAACATGTTAACACTATATATTTTTTTTTTTCCTTTTATGTGCTATATTATGTATGTTCAGGTTTTTTTAAGTATTTTTTAAGAGGTCTATTATTTGCTATATTATGTATGTTCAGGTTTTTTTAAGTATTTTTTTTAAGAGTAAATAAAACATGTTAACACTATGATTTTTTTCTCTTTTATTTGCTATATTATATATGTTAATGTATAATTTTAACAAACCATATACCATTAAATTTATATTATAAATTTAGGAGTGTATCAATTTTTTTCTTTTATTTTTCTATATGTAAATTAATTTGCTTTCTGATATAGTGTGTACAAATAAATACCAACAAATTATAATTTAATCAACAACTAAGATTATAAATTGAATATTTTCTTCAAATTTATGTAGTGTTTGAGTAAAAACTAGTATTTTAGTAAATACTAGTATGTTACTAAATTTATTTAGTATTTCAATAAAAAAATTCTTAAAAAAATAATGACTCATCAAGTCTCAAAGGTGATATTCGTGTTTTTAGTAAGTAAGATGATATTCATCAGGTATTTTTGTATTGAGTATTTTTATATTAGGCTAACTTTATCCGTGAGTGGGTCACGGAAATTAAAAAAAAAAAGGAAAAAATGTGATCAGGTTGCGCGACCCAGGTCACAATGTGACCTTGGGTCGCGACCTGTGTTGTGAAAAAAATGGAACACATGTCTCATTTTTATTGGACAAGTGTATTTTTTTGGTTTCTAAAAAAATAAAAAAATATTATAATTTATATTTTTTCATTTTCTACAAATAGAGACCACACTTGATATATTTTAGAATACATTTGCAATTTCTAAATAAATTAAAATAAAATAAATATGTAGGTTGAGTTGGGTTGGTAATAAAGATAAATTAGGTTGGAAGATTGAGTTGTTTATGTGGAGGAGAGAGAAATAATTTTTAATTATGGGTTGGGGATAAAAATTGTCTTATGTATATATTTGAATTAAAAATAAAAGAAATAAATAGGATAAACAAAATATTTATTCCGTCTAGACAGACTTCTGGATGTTCTGCGTCTCTCTCATGCCACATAATCGGATGTAGAAGTAAAAGAACTTACCGTTGGAGACGTTTTCTAATAAAGTTGGTCGACAGTCGTACCGGCCTAACAAAGAATAGAGCTGTTAAATACAACGAATCATTCGTGAGCTCAGGTCGACTTGGATCGTTTAGGTTCATGTTCAGTTCAATCATTCGATAAACAAGCCAAGCGCGCGTTCACTTAAAGATCATTACGTTAATGAGTCGGACTGACTCGACTCAAGAAGAGATTTTTTTTATATAATTTTATGTAATTAATTAAGTTTGTTAAAGTTTGAGATCGCCTCGTTAAATTTCGAACTCGACTCGCAAATACTGATAAATGAGCTGATCCCGACTCACCTTGTTAAGTAAGCAAGCCAAAAATTAAGCTCGACTTGACTCGTTTACAACCATAACCTCGAACAATGGGAATAACATTAATAGTTCATTTGACTAGAAATGCTCCCCTACCCACGGTGGGCACATGTTAATATGCCCACCGCGTAGGTGGCATGCATTCATTGGTGATGTATTATTTTAAACATATTAACATCACCAATGAATGCATGCCACCTACGCAGTTGACATATTAACATGTGTCCACTGTGGGTAGGTGAACATTTCTCTTCACTTGACTTAGAATTAGTGATCAAAATAAGACTTGAAACTAAAAAAAAATATCTAATAAATGGCCCAAAACCACCCGACATTTGAGAGGATGACTTGTGGTGGCTAACCCACGGGCTATAACCCTGAATCCAAGCCTGTGGAATCCATAAAACCTGGGGCCACCACCTCTTGTTTTCTTGATCAAACCACCACACAAATTATTCTAATATCTCACGCCAATTGACATTTCCCTCCACCATCATTTTCGTTTTTTTCTCTTTTTCTCACTTCATTATTAAAAGATAATCATTAGTCGGTTCTTTAGTGATTCGAAAATCGGAAGGTCTCGGTACCAAAAAATAAAAAGGATAATCATTATATTATGAAATATCATATTATATATTATTTAAAAGTATAATATTTGAGCATAAAAATTAGTAAATTACGTAAATATATTAAGTATGACTATCTAGTATCTAACAATTAAGTGGTCATTGGATATAAATATAACCTGTTTTGATTTTATATATTGGTTGAATTAAATTTGGATAAAGTTGATTAAGATTTTGATTTTGTATTTAAATAATATTTAAAATATTGTTGATGTGATATAAAGCACAGAAAAATTATTGGAAACGGGAGCTAGTAAAAAAATATGTGAGTAGTTGCATAGTTAATTAAAATTGATGTAATGAATATAATAGATTAATAGTAATTCAATTATATTGATGAGTGAAGATAATAAATGATTATTAATTTAGTTATATTGACAATATTGAATCTAGACGTGGAGTTGAATTAAAATTAAACTGAATTGTGAGTTAGAAGGTGTAAAAAAAAAACAATTATCCCTCAAAACCAATTTTAATTTGTAGCCAATTGACTCGTCAAGTATATCCCTCAAAACTAATTTTAACAGTTGGATACACGCATGTAATTAGTATAAAATAGATAATCCAATTGTTAAACCACACGACAATATGATACTGTAGCAGGGCTATAACATTTCCCTTAATTTATATATATACCCCTCCTACTAAAGTCCTCAAGACTCGGGAAAAATCTATTTTTCCATGACATAATAAATTTCCTTTTTCCTAACAAGCTACTTTCTGAAGGGCTGACTGAGAGCAAGATGGTGCTTACCTCCATGATTGCACCTTCTCCGTCGGTGCCCGGTGCTCAGGAATCCGGCAACAACCGCCGTGAAAAATGGTTTTCCGGCGGCGGCACCACCACCGCGGAGAAGGTGGGGACGGCCAAGTTTGGCCACGAGGAGTTCGAGATGATGAGAAGAACAAGGGAAGCCGAGAAGGCCGAGAGGGTTATGCACCTGATTTGCTGGGGGCCCACCAAGTAGAGAGTTTGAGAGATTTTATATTATACGAATTAAATTTCATATTATAAATATAGTTAATTTAATCTCGTTTATTAGTCTTCTTCACTGTATAGTTAATTTTCATCAGCATAATTATTGTATTTTTCATGTTCTGTTAGAAAGGAACGTGGTTATCTGTGATGGTATATAATTATAAGAGATGGAATATTATATATATTTGGGGTCTTGTTTGTCAGTATGTCTCTAGTGATTATATAAATTAATTAAATAGCTGTTATGGGGCACTGTTTATATATAACATGCTTGATTTTATTATGGATAATACTAGTTTGATTACGGTTGTGCACGCACAGCCGATCCAAATTTAATCAATAATCAATTGTGATGAATTTGCATAACGTAGATCTTAAAATATGCCAATTTGTTTGTGACTAAATTAGATTCTCATATCAACATAGGACAGCCAAAACTTCTTGACTATTACGTTATTGAGATATGGGAAATGTCCTTAAATCAGTTAACAATAACTACAATTTTAGACAGTATGAATGCTAGACGGGACTAAAAAATCATAATAATGATGCACATCTCGTTTTTCTTAAGGCACCATTTAGTGCCTTAAGAAAAAAAAAAAAA